GCTGTCAGGGCTCAGGGGAAGCGCCAGGATCAGCGCCAGGCTCCAGCTGGAGCTCGGCGCTGATCCTGGTGCTTCTGCTGAGCCCTAAAGAAGCACCAATCAGCTGGAAAGCAGCACTGATCCTGACGCTTCTGCTGAGCCCAGAAGAAGCACCGATCAGCTGGAATGTTGCAGCATCTCCAGGGTCTTGTGATTTACATTCAGATGCTTGGCAACTGATTCATATTTATGATGGTCACAGTGTCCCAGGGTCATGTGAAGTGACCAAAATCTGCTGCAACCACCCAGAGATGGGGGAATAAAAACCAAACACCCCCCCACCTCACCCCCACTGCCAATCCTCAAAAGAAATGCTCACAATGAAAACCTCGGATAGGAGGAAGAGTGCCGCCGGGCGGGCAGGCAGGTGTCTTGCTCGGCTGTGGCTTGGTGGTACTCGGATGTTGCCATATCCTAAAAGTGGTACAATGGGTTAAAAGGTTGAAAAGCCCTGTCCTATTTAATATACACACGAAGCCATTGGAATGGTTACCTGGCAGTTCAAGGTTTGGTTCCATCAGTTTGCTACTTGATAAATTATTAATCTGGGCCAAAGTGGTGGTGTTGTTGGCCTTGGTTTCATACCTGGATGTTGAGATTGTGGATTAGAGAGAACAGGCTAAAATTCAATCCTAGCAAGAAAGATTTACTGTTTGTCCATTTTAGGGTTTCTTGGTGGGTCCAATGGTATCTTTGGATAGGTAAGCATTATCCCTGAAACAGGAAGTCCATGATTCCAGAGTCATCTTGAAACAGTTGGCAGAAGCTGTGGGCAAGAGGGCCTTTTTTCTTTGCCTCAACTAGAGTGCCAATTGCAACTCCACCTGGGATGAGAAAACTTTGCTACAATGACTCATGCCTTTATTATCAGCCACCTGGATTATTGCAACACAATCCACATGGGGATGCCTTTAAAGATCTCCTGGAACTTGACTTGCAAGTGTTTCGTGTAACATTTTGCAAACTATTGCTAGAAAAGAAAGCAAGAGTTCATTGTGATATTCATTTTTATTTTGTGGGCTTAATGTAGATATCTGGGTGATAATTAAGTAAAGAATATTGTGTTGGATAAGTCTTTGCTCTGATCTAGCTTGGCTTGTATATATATATTTATATCCTTGGAATAAAGAGAAAAAATGAAATCAATTTTGCTGTATCCAGAAATCTAGAAATGCATGTTAAGGAAGAAATCTCTTTGTGTGAGTCAGTTTTTCATTTTGCTAATCATATTCTTGAATGTGTGTCTGCTTTAAAAAACTCAAATTGGTGCATCTTGGCTTCCAGTCAACCTTTTCAAGTACTCCCTTCCATCAACAAATATGTCACTAGTGCTAGCATTTTTGTAATGTGGGTGTTATCAGATGGTAGATAAGACCATCACTCATAGCAATTTATGGCTTTCAAGATTTAACAGATTATGCAAAATTGTAATGCAGCACAGATTACCATGACAACTGTGATAAAAGAACTCAAAATGGTACGTGCTGATAAACCACATGGGATGGTGCACAAACTGTTTCCAATTGCTAGAAACGAGGTAATGCAGAATAAAAGGATTACACTCTGAATACTTCACAGATTACTTCCTAAGTCTAAAGTGGAAATATTTTTTTTAGGACCCAGACTAAATAGTTCTGTCTGGGACACATTCACTAAAACCCAAAGACATAAATGCTTGTATTAAGCTTAAGTTTGGAATTGCAAATTCAAAAACAGAATTTGGACTGTAGTATCTTGTGTGGCACAAATTAATTTAGGGACCTGACCAGCTTATTGAAGATGAAAAATAACTTGTTATATTATAAGAAAAAGGATACCAGGAAAAATCTTGCATTTTAGGTTAAAAACACTGGATGTGCTATGGATAGGTATGTTACATTATAATGCCTAAATATGTCTGTTAGTAATATGGTTTTGTTCTCTAGAAATACTGGTTTGTATCTCTTTATTTGTGTCTTTATATTTTAAAAATAAAGTCAAATCTTCAAGTTGAATTGCACTTCTGATGGGCGTTTCTTATACTGTAGGAGAAGGATGATGTGCTTACAGTGACATGCATCCCAACCAAGCATTGAGATGAATATAAAACTATGATAATCTGAAGCAACTCTATGATAGCTCACAAAGGAACCTCTTTCAGAGACGGATGATCACATAGATAATCTGTTTTTCTATCTTCTGTTTTCCATTGCTTGGGTGTAGATCTTACTAAATATTATATCCAGTTCTATTTATCATATATATAAGAACCCATATCCTTACTTGTGATTTGAAATAATAGAAAATAATTGTTGTTCTCCTGCCACGTCTCTTTCAGATACATTATTGGCTGAAGTTGTATTTGACTTAAAATATTTTCAACAAGAAATGCTTTGCTTAGTAGAGTACACTTTTAATTTTTGTGCAGTAGCTAGATTTCATAAAAGAAACCATGAAAATTTATAGCCCAATAAAAATATATTTACAATATAATACAATACATATATTGTAGTCTTCGTCTGACAGTAAACTCATTCATTTGGGTTGGTTGATCCGTTTCTCACTTCACTTTCATATTTACTAAAAGAGGTCTGAGTACGTGTATCTCAAGTACTTAGATTTCTTTAAAAATAATTTTGGACTGTAATAGTTTTTGGAGAAGCTATCTTGCAAATAATTCATTTGTAATTCCATAATCTTTAAGAAAAGGCTAATGGAATATATTATGTTCTTATCTTTCCATTTTTAACTTCTGTAAGCTATTCCCATTCCCATTTCCATTTCTTTTCTTTCTTTTTTCTTTTTTAAAAAGGAAAGTATTATTTCTGATCTAATAACAGAATGATCATTATGCAATGGAAGACTCCGCATCCAGTTTCTGTTTGATTGATGATTATGTGCCATACAGATAGATTTTCTCCCATGATGATCTGTCCCTAACCTGGTCTTTCAGCTCTTTCAAGTGTGCACT